TCCAACTAAAGCGAAGGTTCGCTGGGAGCTTTCACGAAAAGGAATTGGTTACTAGAACGGACCGTGCATGGAGAGGTGCAAAGGGAAGGAGGGGGTCGTAGACAGGAGCGAGTGCATGGATGAGCTTGAAAGAACGGTGAACACTGTCTTGAAATTGATCCTGGATCGGATTGTGAGCCACTGGATCGATTTGAGTATTGGGGCGATGTGGTCTTATTTACGGGTGCGGCTGAGGAATTCTGGCAGCGGCATTTGGGATCATCTGAAATTTTCAGAGGAGGGGGATGTGGGTAGAACATAGATCAGAGATTCATATTCTTTGGGTCTTTCGGTAAAGTCACGTTGAGAGGTTAAAAGAAAATAACAAAAACAATCACTAAAAACTACGACGTATCGATCGCAACACAAGCGTTCGTCGTCAGGAAGAAACATGGATGACGAACGCTTCTGTTGCGATCGAAACGTTGAGGTTTTTGGTCATTTTTTAAATCATTTTATTTTAACCTATCTACGCAACTTTACCGAAAGACCCAAAGAATATGAATTCCTGCAGTCACGAGAGCTTTAAGTCAATATTTATAGATCAGAGAGTCAAAGGAGTCGAGTCTCGCCACGATGGCGAGATGTTAAATCCCTCGCCCGGTGTACAGGAAGTCATGGGTTCGATCCCGATCCCGATCCCGACCCTGTGCCGCCTGTATATTTTTAGTTTGCATGTTCTCCCTGTGGTCGTGTGGATTTTTCTCTGGGTCCTCCGGTTTTTTCCTTCCACACGTAGAATCAACATGCGTTTAGAGTATTGGGCTACAATACATTTCCACGTGATAAGTCACTTCGTTGCGTTATCATTTTTGTCCAGGTCTCTTCTGAAAAAATGCTAAATTTCTCTGTGTGCCTTACCTGGAAAGATTAAAAACATGTGTGAAGGCATCAATGATGGTCTTCTTGGCTGTTGGAGTAGGAAAATAATGGATGTGGGAGATGTGCAGATGGAGTTATAAAGTCCTGTAGAGTTGAGATATCTTGGAAGAAAATTAGACCTTCGGATTAATGACAAATCTAAGGTTGATTGTAATATCAGAGCCGAAAAGGTGCACACTCAAACTGAATTGTTCACTGAGATTGGACTTTTGTCAATGAGGAACATTTTAGTTTTTGCTTCAGCTGGACAAAGTTATAACCAATCCAAGATGTGGGAGGGGATAGTGATGTTGCATTTGTAGAGGTGTTAACTACTCACTGTTCGGTAACCTGCATTGCCACTAGGTATCAAAGGGGCAGTGCAGCGTTACCTCTGTGTACATAACGGTTGGGGTCAGACGAGGTGAAGTGGATAGTAGCCACAGTTTGGTAAGAACGAATCAGACAGTTCCACGTGGGAATGTGGAATTGTTTACACCTGGCCACAAACGGGTATAAGAAGGGTGACCGCGCAAAGCGCAGGGAGTTCTCTCCCTACACGAAGACCGAAGCCCGGGCTGAAGATAGCCAGGACCCTGGACCCAGCCTTCCAGCCCTTCTGAGGGCTAAGGCTCGGCGCATCCAGTGGTCAAGACCCGCCGGGCCAGCGGTGGGTCAGATAGCCTCCCCTAGGTCCCAGCCGGAGGACTCTAGGATAGCGGTAGACGTGTGAGTCCCGCCAAGATAAGAGGCTGTACCTCCTTAGGTTAGGAAGAGACCTGTGTGTAGGTCACGCTAAGTCTGGAGGCTGTACCTTCTTAGGGTATCGGGTGAGGGGACCGTATACCCCTCTGTGTGTTAAGGACTGTGTAAAGAGAAGTATTACAATAAACAGAGTGTGCCTCATAAGAAGTTTATTCGTCATTATAAACACTACACATTGTGGAGTCAATGTTGATTTGGAACTGGGTGTTATCAAATTTAGATCATTTTGTAAAGATGGATGCAATATGCTGAGAAGAGCAGAGGGCTGAGGATGGGGCCTTGTGTGACACAATAACACAGAGGTTTCTGAGAGGTGTGGAGATATTGGAGCACTCTGCTCGTTAAGAGCAGAACTGGGAGATAAGTGTGCTGGAGATGCCTGCATAGTTTTAGAGATGCTGACGAATGATGGAGTGGTCTGTGGTGTCAAATGCAGAAGAAAGGTGGAAGTGAGCTAAGAGTGAGAGTGACCCATGGCCTCAAGAAAGAAGAAAGTAGTCAACATTGGCAGAATCCAGATTGTACTAGATTGTAGACACCACGGAGGGACATGTATTTGGAGAGATGGAAGAAGATAAACTTTTCTTGGACTTTTATTTTCCTGAGGAAAAGGAAATAATTTACTTCCAGCGTCCATAGAGAACGTGCGTTTTTTTTAAGTTTAATTAACATTTTAATGTTGGCATGCCTGAATGCTTCTGGCTGACAATACAGCATAAATAGTGTCAAAATGTAAAAAGAATATCCCACTTGCATGCCCCCGTACCTATTTATAAGGGAAGAGAGAATATTTGTGCGTTCATAGTTGTGTTGTGCCAGAGTGATTGCATGTGGTGGAAGAAGACTTCCAGCTTGCCCAGATTAGCCACATAATTCCACAGGTGCAAGGAATGATGTGCAATTATTTAAGGTCATTATCATAATGCAAAGAGCAATGAGTTATTAAGTTAATTAAGCCTCGCTGTGTGGAATCGGTACAGTGTTGGAATAATGAGTGTTAAATGGTACCAAGATTTATTACCAATCCTGCGGTATAAATCATCCCATATGCCGAACATCTGAGAATGGGCCTCAGGTTTATAACTGCCACATGTGACACACTCGCATTCATATTAACATCAAAACAAGTGGAAGAGAAGGAGTGCATCCACCTGCATTTGGGCTGACGGGATTGTAGAATAAATTCAGAAAATCTGCCAAAATCCTGTTTTTTCTTGGTCATTGATAGCTAATTTGTAGTAGCAATTAATGTACCACTCAGGCTTTGTGGAGAAGCTGCATGGATTATGCTGCGATCTCTGCATAGGAAATATCTTGTGAATTAGAAAGCACATCTTCTGGGCCTCCTGGTTTCATGAGATGTATTACAAGTCACTCCAGTTTTCCACATTGCTTTATGCATAATACCATAAGTGAGCAATTCTTGAATCCAGTCTCTGTGATGTAAATTATGTACGTAACTTTTCAAAATTGTTAGTGAACATATATGCTGGTGTTGTTGTACATTTGTTGTTGTTGTTGTAACTTGCTCACCTGACCATGTGAAAAAGAGCTTCATAACTCCTCCAGTCTAAATAAACATTCTGATTCTTGATTCTGATGTGCTGGGTATAAGCCTAGTGTGGATGGGGAAGTGATGGCCACCTGGGTTTAATACCCACCCACAGCTAACATCAGTGGTGAGTGGCACCTGAACTGGCCCTGGGTCCTTCCTTAACCAACCCACACTGAACCAGCTTGAAGTACGTTCAAACCATCCCCACGTTTGGGGAATCCTTCATCTCCCAGTGGATTAATAAAGCGCAGTAAAGTATTATAATTTTAGTTTTATGTCAAGCATCACAAATATACATTCACCGAATACCCCTGGGTAGTCTGGTGTTATAAGCATGAGCCCACACGTGACTTACACTTGATGACACGAGAAGAAGCTGAAACTCGTAAACAATTGATACGTTGCTGCAAAATGAGAGTTGGAGGACTTTGAGCTTGAGGAAGTATGCACCCATGGACCTATAAAACATAGTCTTTCTTAATACGTCTCTATGTACCATTTTTTTTGTAACATTTCCAGTGCAGTATTAACAAAATGCAATACATGTACGGCCTTGATCGAGTGACTGATTTAAATTCGAAGGATGTTCTAAAAGAACGAGAAATCCTCTTTTTGGCACAAAATATACGTTCATAACTAAAACTATCCAAACACCAACGTTTTGAGTTTGATGCCCCAAATAAAATATTGGGCACAACCGGTTTCTAATTCTAAATGACTTATGACTTGTGTTAATCTCTTAAACATATATGCATCTCATCATTAGTGAACCGAGTACTTTGCCTCCCAGGGAATGTTTTGCTAAAGCTATAAAAAAGTGACCAAAGCATGCTCCAAGTTACTTGCAAAACTATTAAAGTATTATGACTATTCAATAATTTCTGCCGTTATGAATATATTGACTTTGTTTAACAAGGTGAGAATCCATTGGGATTCATTATGCCTTTTTCTTAGGGGACCTGGGAAATCATGGTCAGTTAGGAGACAGTTATTAATGTATCAGTGTAGTTCCAGTCTGTTTAAATATTAGATTAATACGAGGACACTGGAACTTAATTGCTCATTCTTGCAAATAATGCGATTTGATGTTTAACATCGGCCTCATGGGTGCACGCCTTGGAAATTCCCCAAAGAAATATCCTAGCAAATACAAGATAACAAAAACACCGGCTCTATGGTGATGGTGCTGACAACTAAGCGACCGACCCAATACCCATCCATCACTACATTGCACCAGTGTGGGGTTTCATAAGGGCTGAACAGGGCAGTGAATAGTATATGAGCACTTCACTCACATTAAAAGGATGCAAACAGGAGTGCAGTGGTTATCGCACTCTACGCTGTGACCCGAGATCGATTCAACAGTCACAGCTAACATCGGTGGTAAGTGAGATATGAACCTATCATGCCCCCATCCCCCTGCTGACGCTGACGAGCGTGGTGATGAATTATCAAACATGATCCAAGGCTAACATGGGATGGGAAGGCCTTCATCCAGCAGTGGATTTACAAAGGGCTGAACATTATCATGATGAACATGACCCGCGAACGTGTGGCATTTTTTTTGAACCTGGCAATATCGATCGCGTCTTCGTTTGGCTAACCCGTTGTCAGATCTGATCTCGTTGTTCAATACCATTCAGTGCGTCCCGTCTGACTGTGTTCATGTGCGATATCCGGTGGCGGTGCTGGTGTGGTGGTGTTCACGCGGAATCATTGCACACGGCGGCGGCGGCGGCGCAAGTGGACGCAAGCAGTGAAGCAGACGTGACGCGCCTCGTGGGGAAATGCCAATCGCAGTTTATTGAGAAATGATCAAAAGAAGAGAAACGAAATAAAGAATACAAAAGTGGGGAAGAATTAGTTGCAATAAATAAATAAGAAACGTTAATAAATAGTTTGGTTATCATGATCGGTTGATCTGACAATGCTTTATTATTATTATTGTTCGTCATTAGAAAAAAAAATTAAACAGGCAATAGTAAACGCGCATATATCTGTACTATAGGTGGAGAACAAACACTTGAATAATTGTGAGGAATCGTCTATGATACGGCATGGTTGCTATATGATGATGCTAAGAGTTTATTTTTGTTCCTTACACAGCATTGCGAGCTGCACCAAACAACTTACTTGGATTCTCGTAAGTTTAGTCACTTGTTTTTAATATAGAATTTAAGTTTACACTTGTAAAAATTAAGATTTTTTTTTCAAACACACTGTAAAGACATCAGCAATAATTTCCTTTGTAAGGTTTTAGCAAAAAAACAAACAAACATGGAAAGTGTAAGTATTTTATCGTTTCATTTTTTAAAAATAGTTTTCTCAAAAGTCGTACGGTAATATCAAAATGTTTTTTTCTTGATTCATCAAAAGTGTACATGGTTTCTTGTTTTATTTTTGGGACAAAAAATTAAAATTAAATTAAATTAGGAAAGAACAGGAAGTTTGAGACGTGAAGTATGGAACAAAATTAAAAATATAACAATTATAAGAACGCGTCGGATATTCCAATTCTTGAACTCTTCCGGAAGTTCACGATTTTTTACTAAAATATACTTTTTGTAAAACTTTGTTTTTTTTACTGTTACTGTAAACACTACAGTATGCAATAATAAATAACAATAAAAGATGCTTTTGTCCGAAACTAGCGGGCTGTATAAATATTTTTTTTTCTCTTGTAAACGCTCTAACTACCTATAGTTTGTGTATTGGCAAAATGCAACCGGAGGGGTGGGCATATAACACTGCTTCGGCTCTAGGAAATTGCACAAGGGTAAACTCTACGCGTCGTTGACTAAAATGATCTATCACGGTTATATCGCTAATACTGACCAGTGCGGATGAATACCTTGTAACTGGTAATAATAATACTGAATTACTGATGCGCTGAAAAGCAGGAAAAAGCCACGATTTTTTTTTCCTCTATATAAGTAATACTTGGAGAGCGCTCCGACAGGCGCAATAGTGACTCGCACCTTTGTTTGCTTGCATAAGGCTTCTTATATCGAGTGTGTCACGATCCTCAGTGGGGGTTTATACACCAACTAACCTGGTCCAAATCTACGGTTTTTCGGCGACATAAAACATATGCCAAACTTAAAGTGCAATGCCAATCGTGCATTGGCAGGTATGGTCAATTTGGTTAATTAAAAGACACATGGCATTGAATACAACACTGTCTGCATGAAGGCATAGGAATGATGCTTATAATTTGCTACCATATTAGTTAATGTATAGACCCTCCTTCGATACAGTACACTGTAGGCGTTTATAAAAAAAAAATGTCCATATTATGAAAATGCATTCAACACCAATAATATTTTAATGTGCTCTTAGGGAGTCAATATATATTGACAACAGATTAATTTTGGAATTTCAAAAGTCATAAAATGATTTCCATGGATCACTTTTCATAAGCCGCACACAGTATACATTTCACCTTATCGAGAGAATGTGCTCTTAGGCTCATGCATTCTGACCTGGTAATACCCTTTTGTAGTTTTTTGTCTTTTACATTCGCAGAACCTACCAAGTTTACTTTCAAACTTGTCATTGCCCCTTCGATGTCCGTCTACTCCCCCCCCTCACCCTTCCCACTCCCCCCCCTTCCCCCCACCCATCCCAGGGTTCTAAATAACCAGAACAAGTTCATCGGGATATTATAATTAACACATGGTCAATGTTGCATTGTGCCCATTGTAACATTACACTTATTTATTTTGTATTACAACAGTATAATCCTAACCACTGAATTAAAAATAAATCATGCAAGGATTATGAATGTAGTTCAAATATCCAGTTCTAATTATTTCCAAAAGATAATTGTAATTTTACATTTAAATTTCATTCCGTTCCTGTTAGGAATTGGCCGACTAAATGCCTTTGGCATGACATCCGATGAAAATGTTTGGTTAGATCATTTAACACTGATTGTGTAAACTTCACATTTTTTTTACGTTGTTTCATTTTTCTTAAACCATCCTGTCATGTTTCTAAACACTACCAGAAAGTTCAGGCACGTCTCAATAGGCTCGGTGCAATAGAGGCCCATAATAAAACTGTTATTCATCACGGCTGATCTACAGAATTACTTATCACCTTTCTCTAAATCGCCTTTTCCCTCAGAGCCATTCTCACCCAAAGACCGTTTTCTCTTCCCAACCTTGCTTCTCTTCGGCTCTTCAGCGAACACGTACCTCTCTTCACCTTCTCCATCTTCTCCTGCTCCCATTTTGCATTCTATGCCCTCGGCAGCCTTCTCCTTGTCACTTCCCAGATTCGCGTCTCCATCACCGTCTGCTACACTTTCCAGTTCACCTCTTACATCTTCTACGGCTTCGTCTCTGTCCATGTGACAACTTTTGCTCTCACCATTATCTACATCCATTGACCAACTTCCTTCAGGGTCACCTGCATCTCTTTCCATCTCCATTCCATTCTCGTCACCATTTTCATCATTAACTTCATCATCACCATCATCACCATCATTCTCCTCTACTTTCATCTTCTGCTCATCTTCTTCCCCAAGTCCATCAGTAACACATTCTCCATTTCTTTCTTTAATGCCATAACAGTGGTGCTGCGATGCAAAGCCATATCTAAAAACTCCTCCACTCACCATCGGAATTCCCAACATACCAAACTCATTTTTCGTGTCTCCTACGCCCATGTTTTCCTGGTCACTACTGCTTGTCAATGCATCTCGCTCTCGGTCCATTTCTCCCAGCATTCCTTGCTCCTGCTCCTCCTTCCTTTCGAACATTCTTTGCTCTCCATCAAACTTGATCAGCAGCTCATGCTTCATGCCGAACGGTTCCATAATCGCCCGATGGTCTTCACCCTTCCTGTCTTTTTCCAAGTTTCCCAACATCCTTTGCTCCATAGCCAGCTTTCCACGAATCATCGAGTTGTCTCCGCCACCGAATTTCGCCACCTCGGGGTCGGCCTCGTCCGGTGGGGTGGCCCGCTCTCCCGTCACGTCGCCCGGCCCTCCCACCTCACCTTCGCCCACCCCGCGCCGGCAGTACGAGTAGCGGTGGTTCATGTGCTGCGAGTAGGAGCCCGAGTGCGAGAAGCGCTTGCCACAGCGGTCGCAGCGGTACGGCTTCTCACCCGAGTGTAGTCGCGAGTGCTCGATCAGGTGGTGCTTGTGCTTGAACGCCTTGTTGCACACCTCACACTGGTGGGGACGCTTGCCTGGCCAGGGTGGCAGGGAGTGAGCGGAGTGGGGACATAAGTGGAACAAAAAATTACAATTATAATACTAAAACAACGTTACATGAATGAAATGCCACCTCTTTGCACATTTCAAAACAACAAGCAGTGTCAGCCCCCAAAGTAATGCCACTAATTACCGTGGCTTATTTGTAACTTGCCTTCACTACGTTTTTTATTTTATTGTTCTTATGGTCCATAATACAGGTTTTTTTGGGTTAGATCGTGTAAAATACGCGATCTATTTACGTGATATAACCCAAAAAATCTGTGTTATTGATGATATTGGTCGCAAAAGCATACGAGTTAAACTGTTCTTATGGTATTTCAACATGAACCCGGTACAGAGCACAAACCGTGACGTGGGGAGGGGGAGGGGGGAGCACATAAACTCCATGGATAGAAGCCACAAAATTCTATGCTCCTGTGTTTACGGGAAAGGGGGAGAAATCGGGCTCGCTGCCGCACCTAGGTGGGGACTGCGAGCAAGGAGCGAGCACTTTTATATGGGGGAGGCCTTCACTAAATTCTTATCAGATAGCAGCGGAGAGGCGCAGATGGCTGACCAAATGGCTACAGACGCATCGCTTCTGCAGTCACATTCGTTACACCGGTTTTCTCGACGTCTCAAGAGTGCTGGCCCTGTGGCGATTGTGAAGAAGCACAAGGCCCATTGACAACCACGCCAGGAGGCGCTGAGCGAGGATACCTGTGCTCTCTACTACTTTGTACACGCGCCACTGCTAGCCGACCTACAGCCTCCTCTGCTGACATTTCTCCGTGTTTAGCAAAAATTAGGGAGAGCAATTTGGATGATACCACAGTCCTCACACTGCATGCAATATAACAAATGACTTGTAACATGCAATATCCCACCCAACATGTAAATATACTGTACGTGAGATCAGAGGTGTTATGGTTCAGGGTATTTTTTGTGGAATAATGCAAATATTCAGTATGGCAATGCCATCAAAGATACATTATAGCATAAAAAAACACGTCAACATAGCTGCTGTTTCGAATTCAAATGACATCACTGCGATAAACGCATTTAAAGGGATCTGGCCTATATTTAAAATGCTTCAAAATTCGGCAAAAAGATAAAATAATTTAAAAAATACGATATTGGCAATACAGTGGTCCCTTGGTTAACAGTGATATCGGTTAATGGATTTTCGGTTAACGTTTCGCCTCCCAGAGGACGCGATCTCCCATTTTCGGCCAATCCGAGCACCCGAAAGTGGGCTGAGCATTCCTCAGCCAATCAGCGACCCCCATTTATTAGCGTTTAGACCTCGACTGGCTTTGTTTTGCATGGCGGTTTTTTTTTTGTTTTGGCAGTCGAAACAGCTCTCTCTTCCATTAACAGTTATTTCGGTTCACAGTAGTTTTCGTGGAATGGATTAAAAATGTTCACAAGAGGACTACTGTATCAATGTCAGAACATAACTACTCCAAGAATGCCGGAAGTGAAATATCTACACACATACAAATTCGTTTTTCATTACCCATGTTTACTGACACATATAGAGCGTACTGCATATAAAGACATATTAAAACTACAAATCCAATATGATGTCCAGTGTGGCATCCAGAACCATTTCCAGGATGTGTGGAACTTTAGCATCGACGGACAACATGATTCAGCCTCAAGCATGAACTGCAATTTAATTAATGCATTGGTGAAAGGGCATTTTACATTTATTTGGTAGTTTTGAAATATTATAGCTCATCGTTTTACATACAATATATCTAGAGATGATTTTCCACTCACATACGAATTTGGGCCCACAATCAGGGGTTGATAAACGCCTCATCTAAAGGATCTGCAATTTGTGGACTACGTACAAGAAGTATCGCACGCCACAAGATGCTATAGGTGTTTTATTTTCACGTTTATCATAAAAAAAAGTTATTTGTACCATTCCTTTCCGCCTGTGCAGTGTCTTTAATTTCAGTTCCTCTTATCAAGTTGAGTTGCCTTGGATGCCAATAATTCCGCAGGAGTAAGCAAACACAATAACCTGCTTGGGACAAGCTGTTTATTAAATAATAGCATTCAGAACTTCTTGTGCATGCATTGTTTAACGATTGGTAATAAAATCCTACTGGGTGGCACTTTGGCTATGGCATTTGATTCTCAATAGAAAAACCACGAGTCAAATTTCCTGTTTGTGGTCATGTCAGGCTCTATGGGGTCGATAAAATTAGTACCACTTTGTGACGCCAACAGTGGTCATGTTATGGATATACTATTTCCGGTCATGGGAATATGGAATTTATATATCACTACCTCAGGTCTTATAGTGAAGACACGCACTATCCCATTTCCCGTTTGAGTCAGGAAACACCTTCTCTTTGACTTCACTTTGATAATAAAACAAGACTGCATGTCAGCTGGTGTGTGTGTGTGAGTGTGCATGAAAACGAAACAATTGTGGAAAAGTTTTACCTCAAGATTGGTTCGAAAAATAAAAACATGCAGAAATTTGTGCATGAAGGTCACCATTATGATCATGTCATGGTGGAAGGTTACGTTTCAGAACCCTTATTAGCAGCACAGACAAAGAGGTCCATTGACATCTGCATTTTTGCGTCCGTACGTTGCTCAGTCTAGGCTGTCTGGGGCCTTTAACATTGGCGCAAAAATATGCCTGCGTAGTTGTTCCTTTTAATAAACATTCTGCCGTTCCCTCGCTCATGCCAAATTGGAATACACTTACCCGTCTGATGCAATAGTGGGCCAATGACGGATCCTCCCAGGCCACTAATTCAGATGCGGCAGGATCAGGTTGTGTCTTAATATTTACGTGCAAGAATAATGAGGGAGCCTGTTGAGCCGCTAATGGGAAGCTAGACGGAAACAAGTTGACCAAACGTCTCCATTTTGGTTGCCACTATCATCGGTCGCTGCTAATGATTTGAAAGCTCACTTTTAGGCAATGGCCTGGTGGCGCAATGGCAGGGCGCCTGAAACACAATGGGAGGGTTCCGGTCAGGGGTTGATTCAGCCCATCATATCTCTGGGGGTAATTACATTGAGAACCCATTTGAGAGATGTTAATTACGAATAACACATCAACAGAACTGGTCCTTGCCACAGGAATGTTTAATTTCTACCAGTCACTCAGGGCTGACAATGGAGGTGAGCACTGAACTCATTAATGCTCCTGTGCATATTGCTGTTGGGAGTAAAATCAGACACGTCTGACAATACGTAGCTCTTAATTCCACGTTATAATCCGCTAACTTAATGCCGAGGTGCGTAAATTTTACCGAACACGCGAATATTCCAAGCCTCTTGCAAGCCTTTCAGGACCCCACCCAAAGGCGCCTCGGTTGGTTATTTGGATGCCCAAAATATCCGCGGTAGGCATGTCAGCGATGCCTACGACAACGTGGCCTGCACGAAAATAACCCCGCAAACACCAGTGTGTGAGCGCCCGCACTTAAGGGGACGGCCTTGCAAAAAAAAAATGCCCAGCATACGCGCGCACACACACACACACGCACCCTACGTGGACACGTAAACACGCGGGAGCAAAATGCACGGCTGTGGGCATTTTACGGCACCTTAAAATACACTGGTGTCAATGATGAAGGAGAGCGAAAGTCCCCTTCGCAGGGGAGTGGAGGGACCGACCGAGAAGAGCACTGCTGTGGTATTACCACTCGCATTCACCATGTTCCAATGCCATGGTGGGGGGGCATGGGGGGGTGGGGGGGCATGGGGGGGTGGGGGGGGGGCATGGGGGGGGGTGAGTACAACTTTGAGGGAAGTCAACTGTTCTTGTCTTATAGAGAGAGATACCGCCCATCGCCATTGGAGAAAACTGACTGCCTTGCTTGTTTGGGCAAGAAGACCGTCGCTTGTCTTGCTTCTGATAATGCCAATTATAATACAGCACAGTGCACGAAGATTTTGGCGCGGTGCTATGCCCCACGTTGTGTAAGCCTCCTGCCTTGCACGCTTCCCTGGACAGAGAAGGGCAATACTTATGTAAGACGTGACTTGGTCTGCCCAAAACACCCCACCCATGGACGAGCCACTGCATGACTCACAAGGCTCAATAGGTGTAAGCATAGTCATCATGGAATGTACTATTTCTATTCTATTTTTAAAATAAGTTTTCTAAAATAAGTAGCAATCATGTGCATGTAATTTGTCAATCTATTGCTGGATGAAAGCCTCTCCCCTATGTTAGTCGTGGGGGTTGTTTGATCACACTTGACGAGGCTGGGCAGTGTGAATTGGTGAAAAATGTGAGGCCTAGGTCCGTTTCAGGTATCACTCACTACTGATGCTATATAGCCGTGGCGAGGAATCGAACTACGGTGGCCGGGTTCATAGTGCACAGTGCTTATGACTGTACCACCCCTTAAATATGTACATCATGTTCATGCTGTCGTAATCAAAGCTTGCATCTAAAAAAGAGGCCATGTCCGTGTAAACCTATGTCGGGAAATTACTCCAGAAGATGATGTCACAGAATATATGTGTCATATAGTGGCTTCTATCACCACAACTACAAGTCAAGAGTCATTCTCGATATGTATGAAATAGTTATCTGTCTTTTTTAAATAAAAAAACTATTATATTTACAACTGTGAGTGTCAGCCACGTGCCTTTGCACAATGCTGCAATTTGATAATTTGGATACCGATCGAGTATCGTGCTAAGGTCACGTGTCGGTTGTGTAACAACCGAGGGATCTAGCAGAAGGAAGACAACTATGGCTAGGTGAGGTGGCATCAATGGCATTGCCGATAATGATCTCTTGTCCTTGTTTTGTGTTGTTTGTGGCCAGGCTTAGGTCCATCAACTTACTGCACTTTTCAGCCCATTTTGATGTCCAGTAACAACCTGGGATTTTAATTCAGCAGTGCTGACTTAGTGTTGCGACAGACAGAGATACAACACAGAGCCGCCGATATAACTCTCCTAACACCAACATTTATTTTGTGCTTTTATGAGAATCAGTGGAGACCATGAACCTCTCTACACTTCACCTTGGGTGGCAACAGGGGGCTCAAAGCCAAGCTCTCAGCAGTGTTGACTCAGTGCTCTGATACGGGCATTAGCCCCCCTTGGTCCTCTAGCCACTAATCTTGGCACGTAGATATCCTATAGCGACCTCTACTCTATTCACATCACCCGGTGATTCACTCGGTCTCACCCACAAGCACGCTGGCTGTGCACTGCCCTCTGCTATCTATGGCCACACTCCAGCAGCAAGTACACCACAGAAGCTGGATCGCTTAGTCACTCGACGACGTAAAGGTTTCACTGCGCATGTCGTGCACACATTGAATCTATTGTGAACTTCAATTAACATTGTATTTGTTTTACATCCCTATCGTTTGAAAAAATGCCAAATCATTTTCCAGTTTTCCTATCGGCCTGGTGCCATAAGAAATTTCCATTTGTTACTTTTTTTCAGTGAGCATTGCACCACCATCTGTCAGAGAATGGCCCTGGAAGATGATATTCCAAAACTACCTCTGAATTCCCATTAAAAGGCATCATTGTACACTGTTAGAATACACCTTTAATATCTGAAAAAAAGTGTTGGTTAAATATGTCAATCAAAGCATTCTGGTCTATTGTCAGACGGGAATAAGCTGAATTCAGTGAAAAATAAAATGTAATGCAATGAGTTTATTTGTTTTGTCATTGGTAACTAGGCCGAGACCATACACTCACTATAATTTGGATACTGATTTAATCATGAATTGTTACCCGGTTATGTACTCAGGATCTCAGCAGCGCTGACTCGGTGCTCTGGCACGGTCTTCGCACCCCGAGACACGTGCCTGCCTTTCAGTACGTTTTTATCTCTATATTTTTTCCTAAATAATGTTATCCCTAGACTGTGGGAAGTGTCACAGTTGAGCCCCACTCCAAGGTCCTACACGCGCTTCACTCTGTTGCCATCGGCAGTAACGTCAGTAATGGAGTAAATCGCCAGTATAATTAAGCTTCATATTTACATTATACCACAACGTATTGTTAAATCCATGAGCACATCACAGGGTCGAGCGAGATGGAGGGCAGATTGTGGAGGCCTTCATTAAGTAGTGGATTTAACATGGCTGATGATGATGATATTGTTCACATTTATAGTGTTTTCAATGGTGGTTTGTTGCTTCTGACAGTGCAGTGAAACTCACATGGCCACATTGCAACGATTGAGAGAGATGAGGGATGGATGGGCAAGTGGACTGGTGCACATGGAGATACTGATTCAACTTAATAGTTTTATTTAATATTATCTGTCTTTATTCTGTTAGCTTGCATGTAAATGTTCTCAAATGGCACACATTACATTTCATGTTTGCGTGTTTTCCTCTTTAAGCCTGGATGACATTTACAATCAGCCATGTCCTATCCACTGCTGAATGAAGCCCTTCCTATGCCATCACCAACCCAAAGAGTCCTGTAATGCATGTAATCCATCTTGCTCCTGCACAAGAACTGGACTCATCATTCCATCTCCATGGTGGTCACGCTGTCAGGACTGTTGCCTGCTTCAGCTGCCATTCCATTACCAGTCTCGTCCATTGGCCATCAACCATTCTCATGATGCATGCTACCCAAGCCCAATTGCTTTCCTTAAGAGTCAATATGATATTCATAGGTTGTGTTTGTTTCTTGAACCGTGTGTTTTTTTTCATTGTGTTTTACTCATTCTATATAACTATCTTGAATTAAACTTTCCGGCCCTCTTTGTTAAAGTTCCTGCATCATTTTCTGTAGTTCATTTCAATGAGTATAGAACAGATAATAAATTATAGTCAGACTGCATTCTTGTTCAAATGACCATTAAGCCGGTGCTCATCTCCTGTTTGCAAGGCTGAGCCAGTAGTGGACATTCTACATTCATATGGCGGGGTCAGTCTTAGGGAAACGACAACCACTGTGACCTTCCTCATAAATCGATACTCAATTTAACGACCCCACAGTGATGATGAGCCAACCCCCAACCAGGATTTGAACTGGCTACATTCCAATTGCTTGCCGCTCACGCGGTACTATAATGATTATAAAACAAAAACCACACAACGTAGATGGGTGCCATCCCTAGCATACATGCGCGAGTTGCAGATCTAAGTGAGTGTGCCGAGCGGGAGCGTTACCTGTGTGCTCGTACTTATGTCTCAGAAGGGAGCTGCTCTTCTGGAATGTTTTGTCGCACAAGTCACACGAGAAGTTGCCGCTCTCAGCCTTCCTCAACTTCTTCCGCGGGAGCCCTGTGTCGGAGTCCGAGCCATAATCACCGTCCAAGCTCTCCGCCTGCCATCGAAAATAAACAAAAAAAGCCATGGACTCTTTCCGCAGCATCCCGGTGGCAACCGATTGTGCAGCCTGCACAGCCTTTGTGTTTTCACACATGTACGTATTTTTTTTCATAAACATACACAATTGTGCATGAAGGCATATAAACACAGAGATTTCTCATAGGCAAGCACAAACTAAGATTGGCATAGCATTCCCACCGCTGGCTTGGGGTCCCCAACTGAAGTGAGCACCAGCAATGGCCGTTTCAGCATGGAGATGCTCTGAATTTTGACATCATACGAGAGGGTAATGTGGCCACACACCAAGTACCCATTTAAGGCTGAGTTAACCTAGGGGAGAAAATATTGTAAGCGACTCATGGTGTTTGTTAGTAATGGGGAATAGTGAATGCTGGGCACACTGCCTCCTCTTGTGCCAGGCCAGCCGCTAAGAGCAAATGTCCCAACTGCCTGTGAGGCGAGATGGATAATCTTAATTATTGTGTGTGCATACGTGTATGCACACTTCTGCATGGTGAGGAAAGCTAGTGGTGTTCGAACACTACTCTGATTCATCTTTGGAGGTGCTCACTGAAAACACTCCTCCCGAAATAGTCTGTGTGCTACTGCAATAATTAATGATTTACAGCTCCCTTTGTTATTCCACTGCTAAATAAAGGCCCCACCCCATGAGGGGTTAATCGTGGGGGGTTGTCTCCAGTGATGTTGGCCTTGGCCGGAGATTGAACTCGAAAGGTCATCAGATTCACAGTGTGCTAACCACTGCACCACTGCTCTCTCAGTAGCTGCATTAGGGAAATTATACACTGAAACCGTTAGTTACACTGCTTATAGGTATACCCATGCCTATGCATCATTAAACCCACCCTTGGTCACCGCAAAGCCTGTGGGCACAGGTTTTACTGACAGGTAAGCCCAACCGTTAAACACATCCTTTATTAGTGCTGCTGTGGCGATGAGTGTCAGTGGCGTAGAGTGGACATCAAGAGAGCTTAAACAAGCGAGAACATTTCTCGGCTTCCAGACATATCCGTGCTGCGGCTCACATGATTAGGGTCACGAGGTCTGTGGTGTGGACCCTCTGGGAGAGCAAATCGAATTAACACCAAACTTTGGCAAGGCAGCCAATTTATAATATTCCTGCGCTATACGCTCGGGGACACGTTAACATTTTTGAGAGGCCTTGCCCTCCAACCCCCCCTCACGACCAGCGCTACCCTGATCACTTACATCGACCAGTTAACTATAAACGCTTTGTCAGATCCTCTCAGGCCCAAGAGCATGTGATGGAGTTAATTGATAACAATGAGCGGAGTGCGGCTCACTCAGATGGGTGACCCCCCCTCCAGAGGTCACCATCTGCTCCCGTGTTATGTGACACCTGCGCGCAAACCAATGGCAATTCAGTGCCAGTTGTATGTAGCTATTCAAGTGTTTTTCAGGCAGTTGCAGCGCCCATTTACAATCGGTGATTTGCTGATGGTGAGCGAACAACATTGACAAGGTAATGTGTCTGTGAATTAGAAGCCATCGTGTACATACTCATTACAAAATAATCTCAACAGTGATTATATGGAAAGATTAGTCAACCCAATATGCATGTCAACCACCTGCTTGGCACAACCAATAAATGTATATATAACGTATATAATATTGGAACATTGCACACTATTATGATTAAATCCATCATTTAAGCAGCTAACAATATTAAAGAGGAATATTCCACAGATACCATACTGTTGGACATACTATTGTCTACGATTTAAGCTCGACTCATCAGAGTAAACGTGCACCATGCCACCATAATGTAATCATAGTTGTCCTATGTGTAGGCTGAAACGCAGCCACAGTAATGTGGCATTTCTGCCATTGACTAAAGACTACCAAAGGAGATGAGTACCGCAACTCAAGCTCATCTTAGCAGGGACACAATTCGACATCTGACTTGACACTGAAAGGACGTAATACAATACAAAAATGATTTCACAATGGTTGCCCAGGAACTCCCCATCCCTTGTGTTTCATCACAACTTTCTGCACCATTGCATCAACAATGGGGGCAGAGCTGTGTTCAGGAATGCCGCCCCCCCCCCCCTCCCCGCTGCCCCGCCGCCCACTCACCTGCGAGTTGGCCTTGCGCTGGTACTTCCGACGAAGCTGCAGCTCTGCAAGGCTGGCGGCACCGAGGGGCGGGAAGGCGGTGTAGGCCAGCTGCGGGAAAAATGCCAGCTGCTCCAACCCCGTGGGGTACTGTGCCAGCTCGGCGCCGCGGCCTGAATGAAGGGGCGGCGGCGGCACCAGGCCCGCGTGCGGCTGGAACGCGCCCACCGGAGGGAAGGCTGAGAAGAGAGGACGGTGGAGCGGGGGCTTCGCGCCGTACATCATCGGCATGCCGAAAAGGGGCTTCAGAACGTCGGCCATCGCGTCCGAGCGGTGGCCGTCCATGGCCTCTTCTTCGTTGTAGCCTTCGCTCTCGTTTCCCAGTTCTTTCTTGAGGAACGCAAGGTTCAGCGGCTCGTCCTGGTTGGTGTATGGCGACGAGGAGTCGCTGTTAAGATCTAAGCTCGTGAAGTTCTCACGATCCTCTCGTCTCCGCTTCTTGGCCTGCTTTCGTGCCATCTGCAGCTTGGGCAGGGAGAGATCGAGAGGCTCCGCTTGGGACTTTGCCACGTTGTCCTCAGAGGACGATGATGACCCATTCGAGTTGGAGCGTAGATTCCCGTCCGGAGTGTGCGAGTGGCCGTTTGGAGTGTGAGCATCCCCGTTAGAGTCACGCGCGAAACTCGCTGCAGACAGGTTCAGGGGGAACAGCGAGCGCCCGCTTCCGGGACAGAGCTCGTGGTTCACCCTGGACGGGAGGTTAAAGCGTGCGGGCTTGATTGCCTGCCTGGGGGGGCTCCTCATGTTTGACTCGTTTGTAGCTGCCGGGGGTGGGCCCCTGGGAGAGGCTTTCTGCACGGGGTGACAATCGCCATTGCTGGATGATGCCAAGTCCCCCATAGCCTGAGAGATCGGTGCTGGATCAGGAATGTGGTAAAAGCTCGGCTTTTCATGGCAGCGGCTCATGAAGTTGACGGGAGAAGGAACGAGCATGGAGAATTTCGTCAGCATCTCAGCCGTCATGGGCTCGCCGACGTTCCGCGCGCGGTAAGCCTCCCTTAGAAACGCCATACGTTCGGCCGCCCCCTCTGGCATCAGGGAATGTAGAGAGACCTTGTCCTGCGTGGTCATGGCTGGGTCAGCACTGCTCGTGGGGATGCCTGGATAAGTGCTGGCTGCCTCGTTACAAACCCTGGGCTCTGGGCGCACCAGCACGGCCTTGATTTCTTCGTTCATTTTGCACATATAGCGCTCATGCTGGTGCAAGGGGATGGGGCCAGGGAAGCCCTGCCCACAGAACTGGCATCGGAACATGCCGGTGGCAGTGGGGGTGGCAGCTGAGTGAAAACTCTCCGGGCTAAAGTCCTGCTGATGCATAAACTTTTGGCCATTCATCGCTAACATCTTGGGATCCATTGTGCCGCCATACTCGCGGAGGTGCTGGCTCAGAGTTTGCGCCGTGTAGGCCATCTGCTCCCGCCCGCTCGGGTCCCTGCCAAGTCCCTGTAGACAAGCCTTGGCCTCATTTACTTTCTCCAGCGTGTAGTCGATTATGCTCATGGCCGTGCCATTACGAGCGAGAAACGGGGGGATGGTCACGCCTGGCAGCGAGATCGGAGGGCACTTTGGCGTGTTCGTTGTCATCTGGGGCTCCTCGATGTCCGGCTCCATTTTCACTCCAAATGGTTGGGGCAGAGGGCGGCTCGCCTCTTCCCGAACGGGACTGCAGTCCTTGAGTCGTGTAACTGTGTTATCGACAATCTGCAGGACCTTCTTCACCTCACTGAGGCTGGTTCCTTCAGCTGGCTCACAGAGCACTGCCTGTGGGGTCTCTGCCATGCCTTCGCTGCCGGAGCGGTAATGAACCAAGTTCTGCAGAATGGCTTCCTCCCGGCCACTCAGCACCCCGGCCATTCCATCTCTGTGGAATAGGTGCTGGAAGTTGCTGTGGCCTGGAGAACTCAGATGCAGTGCTCCACCACCATTGCCGTTCATACCGACCGGCGATGCGGAGATTGTCGTCCGAAATTTGGAGAAGAAATCGCAGGCCGTGAGCGGCTCGCTCTTCACGCACACGGCCTCTGGGAGAGATGGCAGGGCCAGACCTGGGCGCTCAGGAGAAAGCCTGCCGCTCGCCTGCAACTTCTGCCTGAGCTGGCTGAGGGCCTGGCTGTCGGGTGAGGTGGGTGAGCGGGTGGAGGGAGAAGTACCGGCCCTGGGACCTCCCCGGGACCTGCCTCCACCAGCTCCTGCCCCACCAGGTGGTGGCTGCCCAATACACTTCTTACTGCTGATGTGGGAGCTGTAGGAGCCAGAGTGAGAGAAGCGCTTCTTGCAGTTTGGACACTCGTATGGCTTCTCACCTGCCAGACGCAGTACAGCACAAGCACACAGCGAGCATTCAACGATGTCATGCCGTCTGGCATCAGCTTATTGTCTCCACATTTAATTTGCAAAGGTGTGTGCCTATCCATGCAAGATTCAGCACCTATTGAAATATGCCTGCATTGAAATGTGATCCCAGAGAATGCATTTAGTTAACCAACTTTCAAGAATACAACAATGTATTTTGCACCACTAAGTGTGAAAATCAACTCTATATTTAATCTTAACTATAGTGTATATTATAGATTACTTTTCCCACTCTGGGAAAGGCCTTTTGCTATATTATTCGTATGCTTATAGAGCTTGTATATAGGCTTTAGTGGTTGAATATGTATTACACTTAATTCCATCAGAAAAAATGCAAAACTACCAGTATTTACAGCTGCGATTATCAAGGATTATCCTCTGCCAAACTTTTTTTTACCCAGTCAAATCCTCCCGAGATTAATTATGTATTTTGTAGGGGATAACCTGAATAACCTTGGTTATATTTAGAAGCGTGTTCATTTTCTACATTTACATTAAGAACATGCTTATACCATGTAGATGAAATATCTGCTTTAAATACGATCTTTCAAACGGTAACATTTAGTTTAAAAAGTTGAGCATTGTGTTTAGCGAATGGGATAAAAAGTGAATGGCTTCTTGAATAGATTATTCTCGGTGTCAAATAAATTACATCCCTGTGGAAGTCACAATAACCGCAACCTTTTAATGATGGAATTCAATATTTTACGAATATGCTAATGTGGAAATAAAATGCATTTTTCCTTTAGGTATTACCACTATGGATCCTGAGGTGCTCCTTCAGGTGGTGCTTGTACTTAAAGGCCTTGCCACACTCGCCACACTTGAACTTGCGGTGTCCTGCATTCTGAGCGCCCACGTCCTGCGGAGTGAAATAAACTAAGTGACTGAGCAAAAGTCAAATCTGTAGATAATGACAACACAATTTGAGAGGGAAACGTATGAACAAAATTATAAACACGTGCACTAACAACCAACAATTAACAGGGAATGGATTAAAAACAAATATATACTATATATACTTTAAATTGTGTGCAGAAATTAACAACCTTATTTCATGACAGTTGAATGCAATAAACCAATAATAACCAGTGAAAGCACTGCAAATAAGCTAAACTCCAGTTACTCGGGGATGGGGGGGACAGTTATCTGCTTTAAAATGTCCCACATTACGCTTGTAACGTAACTACCAAACCAAGTCCCTCACTTATCCCGGAAAGCCTTCCTTGAATCTCACGATTCTTTTGCAGGAAGGTTCCACTTAAATATATTAACACATTTCCTGAACGATATAAATATAAAATAAAACAGAGTGCCCAAGTTCGGTTGAAGCACAGTGTATTAGTTGTGCTCCCTGGCAGGAGGAGACCAGGCAGGTGCAAAAGGAAACAGCTGAAGGAAGATGTCTTTGGCTGGAGGGGGTGCAATTGGCAGGGGGTGATGGGGCCGGTAAACCCTTCTTCAGAGCTACATGTATGGTCAAGGGTCACCCTCGAGGTGGAACGCTGCCTTGAGGTTCCTCTCCACTTTTAGTAATGGGCCTTACCAAATATGGCGCCACCTGGCCCCGACAGCTCTCTCTCTCTGTGAGTTGCACCGTGCTACTACAGACGTGTACGGTACAGCCAGGGTTGTGGGTCATCAATAAAGAAGCCCATTAACCCCTCCGGCGGGAGTGAGGGGGGGGCTAAAACATAAGCACCACTTAGTGGGAATTCAACTGTAGTTGGCTTATGGAGACCTGCTATTGGAATATCAAATATCCACCAACGTCTCAGGGACCCTCAATGGAGATGAGCACCACCCCGATTGTTCATTACAGTAGCAAGACTCTGTTGGCTATGGCTTAGCTTTTTACATACAACCTTTGCTGACGGGACCAGGGCCATTCAACTCACTCCCAAATGAGAACGTTGTTTTAAAATGAGGATAAATACGTGATTCAAATCCAGGATCTCAACAGCGCCCGCTCGATGCTCTAGGGCACGCATAACATTAACTTCAGTCTCCACAGCCACTCAGCCAGTTCTCTTTAATGTAATCGTCTAAGGTGTACACTACTCTTCTGAGCTGTGGTCGGTGTGCTTTAATTACGGTGTTTAGTTTGTTGTCCCTCCCCCTCACCTCTGATTAGCACGGTTGGCGATGTAGGGTGAAAAATAATTTCAATATTACATGCTGGTGTCTGTCGCCTCTCAGTGGGGAAAGTTGCCGAATTTGGTAAAAGCAACTCATTTAGTTTGGTCATCGGCATATCATTAGAGGACAACTATTATATGTCCTCTTATTCACCCAAAGGCTTAAATGCTGGATCTCAATCATGCCGCCTCACTGCCCTGACGTCGTGCGGTGAACCATGGGGCCCAAATGCCTCTTTTAGTTTTTTATTTGACAATTCACTTTAAAAAGTACCGCGAGGGCATTGTCATGCTTCTTGGGCCCCAAGACCGTGATCCAGCCGAGTACATAGAGGTCAACCAGCAACCATGAGGTCAAAAACAACGTGGATTGTTGGTTGTGAACGTGGCGAAGAACAGGTGGATAATTAAATGCCAGAATCGGGTGTAATGGGGATTGGCAGAATGTTCAAGGTCAAGATTAAGGGGTCATTGTGGCCAATGATGTTGTGATAAACTCACCATCTCTCTCTCTCTCTCTCTTGCTTCTGCTAGATTTTACAGCTGTTGTACTGTTGACACCCAACCTCCAGGGTATTCTCTCAGAGTAATAATACATTCGCATCTACAATCCTTTGTCCATCCACCGGTGGATGAAGGCGTTGCCATGCTGCGTCGGCCATGGGAGTTGTCTGACTGCACTTCACTCTAGTCAGTGGAGGTCGAACGGCTATGGGTGTCGGGGGATAGTTCATGTGCCACTGAAAACTTGTATTGCCCACGGCGGGGGATTCAGACTCAGGGTGCACGGTGCAGTACACTGACCATTGCAACACCACTTCACAACGTTCTCACATTGTCCCAACGGATAATATTTGCTTAGTCATTGCGATTTATTTGGAGGCAGCACAGTAGGTGAAGCAGTGGAGCTTCCAAGTGTGAACACGCGAGTTCAAATTTTGGCCAAAGTCAATGAACTCATTTCTAGATTTGAAGCTTGAACTCATCATCATCATTACATTAACGCCACCTGCTGAAGCACACCACTTGGTAATATGTCAACAGTGCTTAGTGGATACATTTGTTCTTGGCCATAACAATAGGGAATTCTACAGCTGAGGCTGGATCACTGAGAGTGAATAGTACCATCCTTTGCTCTTTGGAGCTTTGGAGCACTTTGGTAGTTTTCTTAGTCATATCACGAGTTTTTTTTTTCTTTCTATAAGTTGATCTTAATCTTAATTGGATTATGTCAGCAGGGCCCCTCCAGATGGGGCATAACAGCCGGCGCCATCCAAGACGAGGAGACGATCTGGACGAGGCCGATTGACAGGGCGAGTGTGTCCAGGTTTGTGGAGTGAGCATGGCAGGTGTGGCATGATTGACAGCTCAGATGTAATTCACACTCCCCCCCCCTGCCCGCCCCCTCCCCTGGCAACACCTGATGCGGCCTTTGTGGAAACTCCATGCTGACTCATTTGGCTATTTTTGTCTACGTTCAGTTCAACCCATTTGTTATCACAATTCGAATGGGAATGAGTGTTTGCACTGAAGTAAAAAAAAAGTGCTGTAGGCATTTTTAAAAATAAAATAAAAATGAAATACTCGTCTTCGGGCTGCCTGCAAAGCTATTTTAACTGTAAGAAATGTCTCACACGTACGTTGATTCCCTATGTAAGGACTTTTACAGTAAGTCCCGCATGAGTTGGCAATGGTGTTTTTTTCATGTAAACTCAAGCTCTCCCTGCCAATGAATGGATGTTGAACTTCTTTCGCACCTTACGTAGCCAACCGTGTGAATCGGAGGTGCCGGACATAAAGTGGCATTCATCCCTGTTGTTAGCCATAAGGCCGGTGTGAATATCCCACATTCTCACAGCGAGAAGCAAAGGATTTTGTGCTGGATGTAAACACAGTTGCGTGACACAGCACCGCCATAGCAGGTATATGCATGTGTGCTCCAATGTGCTGACATTTATAGCGTGCCGTTTCAAATGTTGATCTCATTGCAGTGTTTTTGGAATTGTAAAGTTTCAAGAGTTAGGTTTTCTTCATTGCTCCAGTACATGTTACGTGACGTCGTAGATTTGAAAAAGTAAACTGCACCATATTGAAATTGCCTATGAATGTCGATGGACTAATTTTCAAAAATGGCTCCTTCAGTTTAATGAATCGTTCACAAAACATCATCATTCCATCCACTGCCAATTGGGTTTCGTGTAAATTTTGTATTCAATAATAACAGCTCATTATTTACCTATCGAAGCTTCAACCGCGTCCCTCGAACGCTTTACAACTCACGAGCCTGCTAGAGATGTTTGGTCAGTTCCAGGCGTTGTCTGTTGCATTTGAGAAGAAACTGGATTGTCCAGATAAAACCCATGCGCATGAATAGATAACACTAGAAACATCTGCACAGATAGGTCAGCAACCTTTTTGCTCTGCTACCAAAGGGTGGTCCCCCTGTAGCACGGAAGATTATTCTCATGCACATAATGAAATTTGCGCAACCCGCGAATCGTGCCTTAGCAGCGTTTGGATCGTACGTCACAGCTACAAAGCGACAGCTTGCTTGACAATAGTGATATCATCTCAGCGATTAAGGCCACGCAAAAACATAGCGCTTGTTATGTTAAGTGGAACATCGTTCCAGCTGCTGCTAGCTGGAATGGCAAGAACTCGAAAGAAATCCTAAGCACACCACTGCAGGTTATGGGATTATTAAACACGTAACGTTCATCGCGAAATGCGGTGTTTCAATTCCGCAAACACGGGCACAGGCGTGCTGACATGTATGTGCAGGACAGCATGAACACACAGTTGGTATGAGGACAGTAAAGGCTGTATTTTTAAACCCTAGTGCAGCTGCTGGGACTTCCCAGTGGGGTGACAGCTGGTCTCTCTGGGGGAAGAGGCCATGAACAAAGATCGCGTTTGTTCCCAACATAATCTGATTCAGTGACGCAACTTCCCACCAAACCCTTACCCCCTCCCCATCCCACCCACAGCTCAATATCGCACTGCCAAATGCCCCCCATATCCATGGGCCACCTGTCATCGACAAAAAGCGCCTCCACTGCCTGGACAGGGAGCGCTCGGATAATGGCAACACGTAAACAACTGCACTGGAATTACCAATTTTAAGTTGCCGTGAAATGCTCTTAGCGTCTCTTGCTCAAAATGACATCTATTGTATTACTGGTGCATACGGTTTACGCACCGTGTTTGCAAAAACCATGGGAAAAAAAATCCTACGCATTGCATTTGACGTGCGTCGCACGGCATTACTGCCGCTGTAGCTGTCCACAGTGCGCTTGTGGTCTTACCACAAAGCAGGCGATGAGAGCCTGCGTGGACATTAGCGCAGGAGGCCCGTGGCACATGCAGGAGCACACAAGCGTGCATGCAGAAGGCACACAACGCTCTCTCACAGAGGACGTGGTCAGCCAATCACAACCACACCTACCTCTCATCCGATGATCTGGGCATAGCCTCACACAGCTGAGGGACGGTCTCATTGGATGCTTGATTACCATCTCACCTGGTCAATTATTACAGCCTCGCTTGCCGAATGATTACCTTCTTATCCGGTGAGTGATTTGGCCCTCACCTGCTGAATGATTACTGTCTCACCTGGAGAGTGATTACCATCTCACCTCTTGGGTTGCGGTCCAACCTGGTCAGTGATTTCAGTCCCACCTGGTGAGCAATTACAGCTTAACCTAGTGTGTAATTGTAGCCTCCCTCGGTAAGTAATTATAGCCTAGCATGGTGAGCAAATACAACCTCACCTGGTGAGTGATTACCATCACACCTGGTCAGTGATCACGACTCACCTGAAAAGTGATACCATTCTCACCTGGTGAGCGGGTTTACTGCCTCACCTGGTGATAGTGAATACACCCTAACCTGGTCAGAACAATTTCATCCTCACCTGGTGAGTGGGATTACAGCAACACCTGATGAACAGTACAAAAGCCTCACCCTGTGAGAGTGATTATCACGGCCTCACCCCGGTGAGATCAGCAATCACAGCCTCACATGTTGAGATCAAAGATGACGGCCTCACCCGTGTGAGATCAGAAATCACGGCCTCACCCAGCGAGATCAGAAATCACGGCCTCACATGGTGAGATCAGAGATCACGGCCTCACCCGGCGAGATCAGAAATCACGGCCTCACATGGTGAGATCAGAGATCACGGCCTCACCCGTGTGAGATCAGAGATCACGGCCTCACCCGGCGAGATCAGAAATCACGGCCTCACATGGTGAGATCAGAGATCACGGCCTCACCCGTGTGAGATCAGAGATCACGGCCTCACCCGGGTGAGATCAGAGATAACAGCCTCACCTGCTGACGCGCGTGCGTGCTCGTGTGCCGGTCGAGTTGGGCGCGCGTGGCGAACGCCGAGCCTGGGCAGAGCGGGCACACGAGGGGGGCGTCGCCCTCCGCACGCCCCTCGTGCCGGTAGCGGATGTGCTCCTTGAGCGACGTGAGGCGCTTGTAGCCGCGGTCGCAGTACGGGCAGGCGAGCAGCTGCGAGAAGGCGTCCGGCGCGCTGGCCACGTGCGCATCTGGGGGGTGGGGGGGGCGATGGGGCCACTCGCGTGAGCTCGCTTCCCCCCGTGTTTGGCGGCTGCTTGTGGAGAGAATGCCCCCCCCCCGCCCACCCGCTATTGCAATGGGGAATTTACATTACGCTGGCTCTCTCGGAGATCGGTTGCCTCCCGATGCTCGTTTCAGCAGATCTACGCTGTCACCAAGTCTGGGTAGCAATGGCAGCAGGTGGTTTATAGGTGAACCCAGTCAGGTGACCCCTCCACCCCCCCCCCCCCCAATATGTTCTGATCCCTGAAAAAGCTGCCCGCCTTTTAGAGGCTTCTCAAATAATGTGCCGTTAATCAACCCATTAAAAAAATCACGTTACGAAGTGAACAATCAACATGTATTTACACAGTCGAGTGGCCGCAGCCTGCAGACAGATAAAGGAGTTATGTGGTCTGCATGCCACTCCCCCCACCCCCCTCTGCATAGCTGACCGTCGACCTCACACCACCGCGAAGGCAACCTCCCACCATGCTGTGGGTGACAGCAGTTTCTGGGACAGCGACTCTTGCGACCTGCACCTCGCTCAATGTCGCTCACTTCCTTCCGGAGCCACTGAGCGGTCCGCGTTGAGTCTACCCAGCATGTGGCCGTATCGGCTACTGCCACTGTGGTTGCTGGTGGTGCTCGTGCCCGTGCGTGCGTGCGTGCGTGCCCGTGCGTGCGTGCGTGCCCGTGCGTGCGTGCCCGTGCGTGCGTGCGCGTGCTCTGGCTCTCTGGGTACCGTTTTCTGCCGGTCCCTCGTGCTCGGGTGTGCCCTGGTGCAGCGCCGGGTCCTCCGGAGCCTCCGGGTAAATCACGGCCGTGTCGCTGCGCCGCAGGAACTCGGCGATGCTGCCCACCTGCCCGTCTCCCTCCGCGCACTTCTTCTGCCTCGCAAAGTAGTTGTCGAATTCCGACGGATGGTTGGCGCTTGTCACTGTGACATGTAAAGAGCGGGCGTGAGATGGACGGGCGCGCGCGTGGTTTGTGAGGCTGCGCTGCCACGCCTCTGGAACCATCAACGCCTGTCGGTCGACATGCGTTGCTATCCCGGCTCGGCATAGCATGCAAACAATGTGAGATCAGCACGAAGCGTCGCTGGACGTAACTCTCTCAAGTGATGCATCCTTATTAAGTAATAAAGACTTCATTTTTGCATAGCCCTTCTCACTCTTGATACCAACATGTCAACAGACCTCTATGTGCCTTTGGTTCGGGCCGTGTTGAATTTAGCGCCTGGCTCGGTCTGTCGGTGCATTTTTTTTCTTCGCAGCAGCAGCAGCAACAGCAGCCACCGATACGCGGGCGCGCCACAGACAATCAACATCACGAACGCTCAAAGCCTAACACCTGTTTTTCTTCTTAAGGGGAGGGGAGTAAAAGGGATCGGCGACTGAAACCTCAACCCTACCCTTCCTGCCACGTGTCCTCCCAACGCTAAATTCAACCACCTGGCCTCGGCCCCTTTGGGGCGCCAACGGGCGTTGTAACGCAGCTTCGCAGCGGCTTTTAATAGACACATTTTCTGGAAGGAACTCTGCTCGGTCGCTCCGATAGCAGGTGCTCTGCCGCAAGAGAGGACCCTCACGGCTACGCGCGCACGTGTGCTCTGGGGCGGGGTTATTTTTACCGCGTGCTCGTTACACGATTGCGACACGCAACGTTCGGCGCTGCCCCCTCCCAAAACAAAGCTGCGCCTGCACGTTTAAATCGTGGGGCAGCGTGCACCGCAAATCGAGTGACGACCGCCTCAAGAGTAACCCGCCCGTTACATTTTGCAAACTAAGCAAGTTGGTATCTCGTTGGGTGGGGCTGTTGGCAAAGCGTACCCTCTCACGGCCACAAACATTCGCAACATCGTGAGTTCACATCCCAGCAGGAGGTCAAACTTGGTTCATCAAGTGAGTACCACTTTTGTGGGAAGTCAATCGTGGTGGTTCTAAGAATGAGCATGTCCCTGCCTCGGTAATGTGGAATTTCCACCCCTGGTTACAAGCCACCTCGAAACGTGTTTAATTGAGGGAGATGCCATGACTTTAACGATATTAACTTTTAAGTGTTTGCTATGATTCATACGGATACTTGCCAGTGAAGTAAATAATTAGTTTTTAAATCAATGTGAAAAAAAGCTCAAAGTGTTGGCAACTATGCAATATTTACATCATGTGCAATCTGGGCTTTCCAGAGTAAAACAGAAACTTTTTTTCCCAGCTTAAAATCAGAATGAAAGAGGATGCTACATGTTAATGTTTGGAGAAGAACAAAGAACCACTTCGAAGGACTTACTATTAGTGATTTCTCTATTGAGCTTAAGTATGGCTTCAGGCCCCATGGTGACTCTCTCCTCTCTCAAGCCATCTGCAAGCACACAAACACACAGACATACACACGCACATTTGTTGTAAAAAAAAACAGTATGAGGCGAAAAACAATAATTTCTGATAGCTTTTACAAAAGGAAGTAAAAGTGTATGTGTTCGTTTTCTTGCCACCTAAAAGTAAACATTGTCATTAATTGCGTATAAACATCTGCTAGTGTGTAATTTGCCAACGTTCAAGGAAAGTGGATTTGCAAGGAAACATCATTTTCCGTGGTTTTCACACCTGATGATGATTGCTTGTGTTGCAGTACGAAACGTCGTGGTGACTTTACCGAAAGAACCAAGAATATTGGTGAAAAGGTTTAGTTCACTACACTATGAACCAGGCACACTGAGCTAAATTCTTGGTTATGGCTAACATGAGTGGGACGTGACATCCAAACCTGTACTAGGCCTCTCAGTTCAACAACAGATACTATTTATATTAAAAAAAAAACCTTCCCATTACAGAATTGGTGTGGGGAAACTTTCATCCAGCAGTAGATTGACAAAAGAGCTGAAAATTAGTAATATTATTTACCATGGTATTGAATGCATCTGCCATGTGTTGAAACCACCTATTTTTCCTGTGGTAAGTGTGAGTACACTCAGGGTTACTCGTTCCTCTATCGTTTGCTCTGTGACTTTTTTAGTGTGTCGCTTTATGAGTAGGTGTTGGGAGCGAGGCCAATGCAAGGCTCCTGGTTCAGAGAAAGCTGGTATGGTTAAATAGGTTATAGGGAAGTGTGTTATTAGAAGGGTTTAATTATCACACAATTACACTTGTGGCTTTGGAAGTGGTTTCAAAGAGTTTCTAATGCTCTCCTAACTATATATATAAAGCAATATGACAGTCCCAAGACTCATTTTCAGAAGGGTCCTACTTTTGAGTGTTTAGGTTTTGTTTAACCAGGTCATATTTCAAGAGACCAAGATAGTCCATCTCATTTGCAAGAATGACCTGCTTTATGTATTTGACCAATTCACCAATGGGTGTTTTGCATGTGAGAGTAAACCGGTGTGTCCATGATACACCTACTCATATAAGTGATACCACCAACAAAAAATTAACAGGTCCCACTCTACTTGCTGTACTGCTACATATGCCCACATTGTATCCCTGCTGGTGGCTCACACAATGAAGTCTCTACGCAGTCCACCAAACAAACCTTCATAATTCTGGATTACAAGTGTGCGTCACCAAATCTGGTGGCCTGAACACTGGGGCGAGTGATCGTCGGGTGATGGGCTTTGCTCTGTGCATATTTTATTGACGCCCTTAACAGAGGATGTGTTTAGTGTCTATCTGCCCTGCACACAACTGCACACAGCTTGTAAAGCTGTTGTCATGGATAGCACAACAGCATTCAATCAATATTTCTTGTGATAATACAATAAACCTTTCAATCATCACGTAACTGTGGCTAACTCTAACCCAACTCAACCCGATCTTCAGAAACTTCCATAGTTTCCATAGTTTCTGAAGATCAAGATACATAAAAACGAACAAAAGTGCCTCCTATATTTGCCAGGCCCAAAGTAAATCTTGCTGACGGTTTTATAAAAAACAGTTAACTTCTCCAATTGAGTCCGCAGAGACAACGGTCAGATACATATTTATAAACACGCTACTTCTCTCGCTCTCCCACTTGCGTTATTATCACAGCGGGCACAAAATCAGTGTTTGAGAGCAATTAGAATTCTCGATGATCTCCAACCAAGACGGTTTTGATTAGACACAAATGTGATTAACAAATATTTTTTTGTCGTGTGCACTCATGTATGCCACTTGGAGCCAAGCCTTGCATCGTAATTGAAAATCCACATACGGTTTTCCAATATATTTTGTGCCACTCAACGACAACAGTAACATTTCTCCCCAGGAAGATGAGAGGACAACCCCCCCCCCCCCCCACAGTGCTAGAAAAACGTAGCGTTCGCTGCGTGTGTCCCCCCATTCACACACGCTCACGAGAACACTGGGATGAAGTTCTAAGGTTCTGGCCCATCTGCACTTTCAAGTATACTTCCCGGGGGCATTGGAAACATTCGTTGTGCAGAAGCACCGCAAACAATCGTGGCTCCAGTAGAGGCCAGAGGTTGACGAAGAACCTCCGAGTCCCGCACACGTGCAGTCCCGCACCTCCGATTAGCAAGGTTTGGCCACGTAGTTCGACATGCATGCATGTCGAGGAGCGCCCTCAAGGCCACAGAGCACGAGCCTGAAAACTTGTGCAAATGCAGCCAGAAGGAGTGACATCGTTTCCTGCTGCACCACAGGCTAGCTGCACGCACAACACGGAGTGGCCAGATAGATAGACTTGTACGCTTATAATTGAAATCCATTGAACAAAACCGATGATAAGCTGCAAAAGGAAAGTCTGTGTTGGTTGTTGCCACAATTGTTAATGACCTGAATGAAAGTCGCGTACAAGGTTTTTTTTTTTTCGGAACAAAAGACAATAATTGTTGGAGGAACACAACAGGGAATTACAACAGTGCTGTCTGTATATATGGCAATTATTGAAAGTGGACTGGGATCAAAATAATACAAATAAAGAGGTAAGCGACAGTAGATGCGTCTATTATTTGGAGATTTAACAATACAATCAGCATAGTGATAACGTAATAATGGAATGTTTCCAATCAGGGCATGTTATCGTCCACTGACGTGTGGATAGAAGACATGAGACAATTACAAGTAAAATGTAACACAAGATGATAAGTATGGTCAGATGCATTTTGGGAAGATCGTTGAGAGACAGACAAAGGAAAAAACGCATCGGAGAACAAACGCAAAAACAGAGACATCACAGTGGCTGGAAAGACAGCACACATCACTGGAAGGCTTTTAAAGGTTGATGGATGAGACTGGTGGCAGAATGGCAGTCAGGGGAGTGATCATTCTGCAGAGGATGAGCACCTTGGAGATAGAGCGGTAAGATTAGTTCATATCTATGGGGGAGACCCTCTCTGTCAGTATCAAGATGATGATGATAAAATGAATAGACTTTAGCCTTTCCGGTAGGTGCTAAGATGTTCAAACGGCAAATAGACACCTATCACAAGGCAACAAGTATGCATTAAACACACACGATTGTGGTAAAATATGCTTGTACATTTTTTTTTAATCAGATTAATTCATGTGTGGGAGCTATATATGTAGATTGTGGCATCGCTGGACCATAGCAAGAGTCAATCGCATGGGGAGGCCTTTTCCAGCAGTTGCTAAAACAAGGCTGCTGATGGTGATCTGGCTGATATCATCCACATTGCTACACCAATAATGTAGCGTTATCATTGCAAACAGTCAAAGTGCCCCCTGTTCAAAACTGCATGAGAGCAGTGCTCATTTCTGTCAGTTCCACATTTTTATGGATGGTACCATTCTTTCCAAAGAAACAAACCATATTGCATTCCCCCAAAGAAGTACAGGAGTTATTTTATCTAGCCCAGAGGGAGGAATAGGCTGAGCAAACTCCAACTATGATTTGAACTCACAACCTTGATTCTCACCACAGTGCCACTCAGCTGGATTGTATAATTAGGAGGCAGCCCATGGCATGAGTCAGGTATGTGCCACTAAAAAGGATTATTTGAATTCTGTTACTAGTCTCCTAGCCCCTCCATGTGAAAGGAAGACTAATTCACCCAACCACCACTGCAGAACAAAAGGGGCATTTTGAGAACGATGAGGAATCCTCAAAATAATTAATCCCTGGCATGAGACAGACCCGTGGGGTTACGGCCCGTGTTTCACGTTGCGCGTGCGTCGCGAGTGCATGCAATTCCCTGCGGGCAGCGCAGTTGTGTAGATGCTTCTGATTTTATGTGACGTCCCTTCCACAAAGCGCCCGTCAAGTTCTCAAGCACCTGCTCGCCGTACCATGGGGCTGAGCACAAAGGTACAGCGACCGCTTAATCCACGACTGTCTCCGTTTATAATGTCACCAGTTATTTACCCACGTAAGACTAACTAGGCCAGTTTATCACGTAGGCTTTCGCGACCAATATCATCCATAATACAGGTGTTTTGGGCTAGATCGCGTAAATACAAATGCGTCGTTAAACCCGCCACCACCCGACACAGCCAATTAGTAAGGTTTGTCACGTAAGCAGAACATGCCAATTCGTTTCTAGTACCGCTGTGTTAGAGAGCAAATCCACAACGTTTACAATTAACTAAGCCTTAAGACGTTTTCAGGAGGGTCCTGCATTTGAATATTTGGCCGATACCATTTGTGAGTGTTTGGTATGTGATCCGAGACTCGGTGCGTCTATTCTTGGATCAAAAAACCCCCCTTGAAATTCCCACATTACAAGCATGCTATCCTCTACGCTTTTTGGCAAATGTTTAATTTTTTTGTTCCATTTTCTATGCCATCGCCCATGTTTCGAATCCACATGTCATAGAAGGTGTACGCTGGGAGTCGCACTGAAATACAGAATCAATCAATAAATCCAAGATTTGGAACGCTCCATATTTAGCAATAGAAGCACGGATGTCACAGAGATAAGAGGAGTTCAAGTAAGAGGCATCATGTTGAATGTTCATGAAAGTAAGTCGGCTTGCACAGGGCTGCACCTCACTTGAAGTGATGATGGTCAGTGGTCGAGACTAACGACAGAGTTGCATCCAAAACAATAAACAAACCCAAGAGGTGTCCACGGAAGAGACGGAGTAATGAGATACGCTCGGGGGGGGGGGGGGCGCGGGGGGGAGGAGATGAGTATTATGTCACGTGCTTGAGAAATGGCAATTAATTCGGGAGGCCTTCATCTGGCAGTGGATATATCATGGCTGATAACGATTCCCACCTTGTAAAAGAGTTGAAGGGAAAGATGTCAAGAGGTGCAGGGAGAGATCTTATCATCGGAAGCATTGCAACACACAGCTCGAAATCCACTCGGGTTCGGTCAGTGTGCCAGCGTACGTTTCCCATGGTGTTCACATTGATTAGGAAAGTGCTAATTGAATGAATGGTTGTTTTCCATGTAA